ATCCAAAAAAGCTAAACTTGTTTTCAATGCATTATCCATTAGACGCTGATGTTAACAATGATGCAATGATTCTATACTCTAACGTTCTACACATCTCTTAGCTCAAAGACTTTAACTAAGTGATGTCGTTTACAGTATATTTTGCGCAATAGAAACCGGTCACGGCCAATGACACTTTGTCACGAGTAAATATCTGACTGCCGAAAATTGATAATGGTGGTCTTTGCTCCCCAGATTGGCAGGTAAAGGTTTTAATATAAGTTTATCAAGTCCTCTTTGTAGAAAGGTTATCCTCTCAGTATTGACATTATGCAGACAATATATCTATATATCCACTCTTTTATATTTCTATTATAATGCCGTGCATATCTAAGACAAGAAGAAAAGCGAGAGCTGAGCTATGGGGGTTCTCCCTCAACATACAGTAACTTAAGTCCAGCTCTCAGTCATGCCTTCTTTTGTCCATGAATCTCAGTTACATACAATACAGGCTTTCTCTTTTTGCATATGAATTATGAAACAAAATTGTAAATTTGAATTAATTTTGTTTCAATCATATCAACATTACCAATGCATATCAATTCTTATGAACTGTATCTTCTTTTTTGCTTGCGATTTAAAAAGCACTTCATATAAACATCATAATTTCAATTTCACACATGGTTGCACATTTAGAAACTTTCCTTATGCTTTACACACACCAAACTTTCCAATCAAACACTAACCTGATAATACCGTTATATATCTATATATTTGTACTTCAACACCACAATATACAATTTTCAAGTATTAGATTTTTTTCAGTTAACACACATAAAGGCAAAATCGTTTGAATGCTTGAATATTGAAACATCCATTCTGAAGGGAATATATAATGTTTTTCCACATATTATATAGTTACAATTTTGTTTTCAAATTTCATTTTGTCTACTTCCAAATATGCCATTTCTCAGAGAGAATTATAAGATTGAAAACTAAGAATGAATCATAATTCAAATGGTGACAAAAGAACGTAGCAGCTGTTTCAGAACGCTTATACGTGTCATGTTGTCGAGAGATACCATTCATGGCTTTATTTACAAGTGCTACGGCATTTCTAAGCTATGGTCTTTACACATCACAGATTGTTCGATATTCAAGGGTCTGCTCTTAATGTCATGATTTCCGTGCAGGAAGTCGTCAACTGATGGTCAAACTTGTAACACAGTGTATTAAAAGATGCAGGTTAAGGAAAATGATGGAGAAGCTCTATTGTCGTCATAGTGATCGCATTGAGGAATAGTACACTGCTTTGTACTGGACGTGTTTGATGCTCGTTAGTTTGACTGTTGGTTCCGTTGTACGATATGAAGGTGGACGTGTTTGATGCTCGTTAGTTTGACTGTTGGTTCCGTTGTACGATATGAAGGTGGTTGTGTTTGATGCTCGTTAGTTTGACTGTTGGTTCCGTTGTACGATATGAAGCTGGACATGTTTGATGTTCGTTAGTTTGTCTGTTGGTTCCGTTGTACGATATGAAGGTGGACGTGTTTGATGCTCATTAGTTTGACTGTTAGTTCCGTTGAACGATATGAAGGTGGACGTGTTTGATGCTCGTTAGTTTGACTGTTGGTTCCGTTGTACGATATGAAGGTGGACGTGTTTGATGCTCGTTAGTTTGACTGTTGGTTCCGTTGTACGATATGAAGGTGGACGTGTTTGATGCTCGTTAGTTTGACTGTTGGTTCCGTTGTTGTATGCATTGTTTTCAGTTGAGAACGTGACATTACTTACTTGGATTACGCCTTACAACATCATTACATTTTAGGAAATAACAGAAATTTCCAAACATTAATGAAGTATTTATTAATTAAGCACGCTTGAAGGATCTTGTCTTCGGAGTCCAGACGATCAGATGGACATTTAATTAATGTCAGAAGTGTTCCATATTGATCCATTATATCTTTATGTCCAATACTCAATTATGTAATAAGTACTGAATACAACAGAACCAAAATTTTTAATCTGATTCTTTTTTCAAATGATTTCTGTCGTTTGAACATAACTGCGCTCTCTGGAAAGATGTTGACAAAGTTGATAAAGAAGAACAAACAGCTATTCTAACTAACCGGTATTTAGTTTAAACTCTGCTTCGGTTAATATTTCAATGATGTCAAGGGGGTATAAATTACATAGTTAAGCGATATTAGAGCTGTCTCCTAAAATGGACAGTTCGATGAAATACGATAAGAACTATCATTAAAACAGGTTAATCGACATCACTACGGCTGTAAACATGGAATGTGTTCTCGTCTTAGACCTATAAAGATAACTGCAAAGTACCTGCACATACTTCATGCAGTATCACAATAGAATCGAGGGCGATTTACCGTGACATCATCCGAGCGATCGTCCAGCGAATTGTACCGCATTTCGCAACAATTGTTAAATAACTTCAACTTCAATGCTCTTGTTTGTCTGGATAGAAGCGCGCGAGGGATCTTACTTTGGGAGGAAACCCAAGTACTACGGGAAACTCGGTCGGCCAGGTGACCCCATTACATTTCTAATCCGTTCTGGGAATGGAACCTTGGAGAGGTTGAAAGGCGAGAGCGTTGTCATAGAACTATTCGTAAGCATGGTATAATCTGCTATTGCTATGTACCTATGACTAGAATTGCAATATGTGGAAGTAAGTTTAACAGACTTGAAATCAAATTAGATTTTACTTTGAATGTAAATAGAGTATCTCAGCTTTAACTCTAAACTGACTGTAACCACACGTGGTATATCCAGCTCATACTGCATAGCGCTTCCTATAACAACGTTCTTATACATCATTGGGAATTCCTCTCGTAATATACATATGTTTATTGTTTATTTACAACAATAACGCTTAAGATAAAGGTGAAACAACGAACAAATAAACTCAGGGACACAATATTCTACAGATAATAAAATCATAAGTATAGAGTAACTCAACAAGAAACACAAGCGGAATTAGAAAACGCATTTGTTTTATTAAGTTTTTTTCTTTACTTTGATAACATAAGAGAATAGAGAAAACCATTGTTTCGCCTTGTCAATCTCTTCACTTAACACAGAATTTTGATACTTATAGTATGACAACGTACCTATATGAAGAAGTGTTTATAGTATTACAACGCTTTCCTATCAATATGTATGTCAAGCGTAAAATACCTGTTAACAAATGTGTAATGACGTATAACAAGATATAATTATAACAAATTCAAATAAATATCTCTCCACGAAGGCTTCCACTGGACAAATGCTAATGTGATAGCAAGTACGCATGCGTGAATATATACTGCACCTCATCCAGAATAGGAGATTTAAAGAAACACTCAGCCAGATAAAAATGTGCATCTATGATTTCAATAATTACATTAAAAATTCTGCCGTTCCCTGCTCGAAGGGCTTTACCAAATCAGATTATTCGTTTTTATGTGGACAATAATTGTATAATATACACGTGTTTTTGATATTCTAAAGTTTGATGAAATAAATTAACAGTTAGTAATGAATGGGCATTTAAGAACAAAATGAAATTCCTTTTCCACATCATTTTAGATATCTGTTTGGGATTTCAACACTATATTATAGTTGAGTTTCAATGTCTCTTTAATCTTATTCTTAATACAGCCTTCAAGCAGTCATTGTTGACAGACAGAAGAATATAAATTTTCTGACTATTTCATTGACATTACCGACCTGAAGAAGATGTTCCTAAATATTATTGATAGACAAATAACGTTATGATAAGAACAAAAACCATTACATAAATGATTGTATTAACTGAATCTCGATGAAGTACTGATTTGTCTGAAACACCCTTGTTGAGATATATCCACATTTCGGTTTTGAAAATTAGTATTAAATCGACTTTTGCATATCATCTCCCGAACGTAATCCAACACAATTTTAACTCCAAGTTCTTGATGGTTGTAATATTCCTGTATAAAAAAAAATTGATCCTAAACTAAACGTATCCATTTTTATATAAATGTAGTTCGAAATATGCCATACGATTCTGATATTTTTTCGAGCATCGATTACGTTTTAATTTCATCTTAAATATTATTTTTAGTTATATGCTGGTAAGCAATAATAAGCTTTTTACTACGTAAATGAATGCGCGCATTCATGGTAAGTTAGCAACGGGGTTTTTATTTCATACCAGCCTGAAACTGAAAAATAATCTTATCAAAACTAATAATTAGATTCCCGTGACATTTGTGTTCACAAATGGTTATTTTGATTATCTTTGAGTATTTGGTTGTTATTTCTTATTTTTTATTATTACTATTTTAATCTATTTTATTATTTTAATTTTTTTTTTTTTTTTTTTTTTTTTTGTGATTTATTTATTTATCTTATATCAGATATTCAACAGTCGAAATAACAATATCCATATATTATGAATTCAAAATACCAACAATATTATTTGAAAATTATAATAATATTTTTGATACAAAACTGTTCGTCTGTCATAAAAAACTTAAGCTGCATCAGGAATAGCCTGTATTTGTCCTTTTCTTTTGCAAAAAGTCATAAATCTAAAGTCGTGTATTGGAACAATAAGCTGGGGATTCAGACATTCTAACTGAATTATCAGTAAGTTTGAAATGTTGAAAAAAAGGTTAATGTCGTCCATGGTTTAATACGTTGGTTTATTTTCCGTTGGTTTATCCAACATATATCAAAACATATAAAGCATTTTCTAAAAATTTACCAAGACGACAAAATTTCAAATAAGAAAACAAAATAAAATATGGGATCATTGAAAAGAAGAATCATATAAGTGGTTCGGAAAAGCAGAAAAGCAATCAGATTAAACACCGCCAAAACATCGTCAGTATGGCAATTTATATAGAAAGTATTTACAGATAAGTATTGTTTTAAAGGTATTCAAGGCCTCAGTTGTTAATCATCCAAACACAAATATCAAATTGGTTAAAGTGAGTCGTTCAAAGAAGCTCGTGTCGCAGTAGCAGTAAGTTTTATAAACTTGACATGACGTGATCATGTGACTTTTTGTTATCATAAATGAAGCAAGCTTGAAATATTCTCACGTCCTTCAAATAAATTGCAAAATATATTTTTTCAAGGTCCTTTTCATCCTGCCACGTATAAACTAGTAGGAGTTCCTCAGGTCCGCACTCACCCAGAAATGTTGCCTCTGTTTGCAATATTGGATAGTTCACAATGTCGGAATTAAAATGCCGATAGTATCCGGAAAGAGATGCTTCGGCTGCCGCATCACAGGAAAACCTGTAGTACTCTGCATAACTCACATGTAAGTTAAAATCCATGTCACTGTAGCGTGTTTGAACGCTTGTTTTGAAGGAGATATCAGGTGGAATGAGGGCTTCCTGTCTTCTCGTGATCATTGGCATATGTTCATTGTCAATAAGTTTACACGTGTTCTCATAAAAGGTTTTCGGGAATTTTGTAGGTCGACGGGTCTTCCAGTTCACAGGTACTAGTTTAATCTCAGATTTTAGATACCAGTCTCCATTTTCTATGTCAGAGAAAACTCGTCTATTGCCGACACTGCCCGGTGTCACAGAAGAAAACGTATATGTAACATGATACCTCTGTAGTTTACCTGCCAAAGAAAACTTGGTATGAAACTTTGGAGACATAACACACTTTTCGCTGACGAGAAAGAGGTGAATATCGTTGTCTCGCTCCATGTCTCGTGTTGCCGACATAAATCCATTATTAGCACACACAGTGGCAGTGTCATAATGAATTTTACCGATTTCCCAAATCGACACGTGACCTGAAACAAGAGACAAAACAAGATTATACACCATAAATGCAGGGACATGTTGATTAAGAATTTAGCACTTTCTTCATGTCATTCGTTTAAAATATTCAGATAAATATCGGCCATTTGTGTTCACAAAATGTTATTTGGAGTGTTTATGATTTTACTTTCTAGTCATGTATTTATTTTTTTATCAATTCTCGTTCATTTTTCGTTTTGTTATTTTTTTCTCTCTTTTTGGTTTGATCTTATATCAGATATTATACATTCCAAATAACAATATCTGTATAATATGAATTCAAAACATGAACATTGTTATTTGAAATTAATGATATTCGTTTAAAAAATAGTTCGTCTATCTTTAAAAAATTAGCGTTGTACCCAGGAATAGCCTGTATTTGTCCTTGCCTTTTGCATAAAGTCATCAATTTACTGTCGGTTAATGGAACAATGGAACAAATTATAACTTATTGACAAGTCATGCATCTTGGTACTAGTCAGCTATGATATTTGTTGGTTCGTTGAAAAGATAAAAAGACGTTAAGGACATAGAATCTAACACACATAAGGCATCTACAGAAAATGTCATTATAAGCACCGACAATTTATTTTATTTTATGTAGGCACATTGCTAAAACAAAGTAAATATCCAGTTATAGTAATATATAGTCTATAGCAAATAGGAATTGAGTGTTACTGGCAATGTGTGAATATACTGGCATCATGACGATTCCAAATTTTGAAAATCTTATTCCTCTTTACATGCTAGAAATGCAAAAAAAATATCCCCTTCTTCTCACCCAACTTAATCAGCGAATGAGCGACTGGAATTTTGTATTACTCTGTTTGAGTGCTTACCGAATTTTTGACCTCTGGATGTTTGAATTTACAATTGATAACTTATGAAAGAAATCTGATTTTTTGGTTTCCTGAAATTGTCTAGATTTAACACATTTCAATGTGTCTTGGGAGGATTTAGACAGATTTAAAATGTCGGGTTTTTTCCCAAAGTGGGTAGTTAGTTTCATTTGTATACTTCCGTTGTTGACTTCTGAATGCTATGACAGTCCGAGATGCAATTCAAATTACTTAATTATGTTATTTATAACCTTTTCTATAAATCTAGACAGTTGTTTATTTGTTACTGTGTTGAACTTCTAATAATGGTATTAGCTTAAATTCTATAACAAGATAGAGTGAATGATTCAGTTGAATGAGTCCTTAAGGAGAACATTTTTGTTTTTGCTCTGCACACAGATAAAAATGTTTTAGCTATCTGTTCACCTACATGTATACTTCGATTAACTGATTTTTTATTATGTTTTTAGTTAAGGGCAAAACAGTAAATGTTTGAATATTATTTGACCTTGTACCTTTTCAATTGCATTTTTTTATTTTTCCATTTGTACATAATTTGCTTGCGTTTTATTGATTGTGATTTGGTCGGTCTGTTTATGATTTTTTTTCTGACATATTAATATTCTCTCAGTTCTCATTCGACAGTGACAATAATCGGTAATGTACATAAATATTAAAATCATAGGTAATGCCGAATGCATTTCCTGGTATTTATATTCGATTGATTGGGATTACCTTATGATAATTACTAAACATAATCTGCATCCTAATTCTTTTCTTTGCAAAATCATCAGAAGCTATTTAAAAGACTATAAAAAAAACACTTGAAAGATCCAAATATCGACTTCAAAGAAAAAGAAAACGTATATGTCTCCATGGTTTCCTCAAATGTTTATTGTCTAAAACACAAACCCCATATCATTGAAAGTTTCAATAGGCTTGTTATTACATTGTCCTTCGAATAAATTTCAAAATTATGTTTTGGTTTGTCGCTTTCGTCCTGCCATTTGTAAATTTCCAGTTGTTCCTCAGGACCACACCCACCACAGGATAGTTCACAATGTCGACCTATAGTGTCTATAGTATCCGGAGCGAGAAGCTTTCGATGCTGCATCACAACAAAACTGGTAGTACTGTGCAGTGTTTGGATGGTAATTGAAATCAAGGTCGATGTAGCATGCTTCGATGGTTGTTTTGAAGGCTCTGTCCGGTGGAATAAGAGTGTCCTGTCTTCTCGTTATCAATATATCCTCTTCGTGATCAACAGGTTTAAATATGATTTCATAAGATTTCCGAAAATTTGTTGATCTCCAGGTCTCCAAATTTACAGCAAATTGTCTAAGTTCCTTCGTCTACGTCAGAAAATACTCTTTTGTTATCCACGTTTCTGGGTGTTATACATGACACAGTGAAATATACGTGATTTCTTTTTAGGTTCGGACAATAAAAGTTTAGTTAGAAACGCTCGAATGTTTTCGCTGATGAAGGAAAACCATCATGTCAACAAATCATGATCCAAATCCTACACGACTAGAGCAAAATCTGAACAAAAGAAAGAAGAACATGGAGACTACTGAAGGAGAATAAGACCAGGTGTACCGGAAGAGTAAGCGACTTCTGCTTTAGTGACAAAACCTATTATTAGTATTATTATAAAACCTTGGTCAATCCAAGTAAGTAATGTCATGTTCTCAAATAAGAGCTAAAACACAAACTAACGAACATCAAATACGTCCATCTCCCCACATAGAAGTATAAAGTTCCTCAATGAGATCACTATGACAAGAAAAAAATTAATTTTAATTTTTAATTTGTATCAACTTGCATCTTTTGAAACTTTGTGCTACAAGTTTGTCTGTCAGTTGACGACTCTTGCACGGAAATATTTATATTTGGTACAGGCTCCCATTATAGTCATACATTGTAAGATAATTACGTGTCAATAAGGTTTCAGTTTGAAAAGATAAAACATGATTTACGATATAGTTGGGATGGTATTGTTATAAAGTCTGAAATGCGCCCGTTTTGTGCATTGCATGGATACTATAATATAAATGAACCTATTCTTACCGTCCACTGTTATTACTCTGTGCCAGAACAAAATAATTTGAATTGTATTCCTTTACATAAATGTATGGAATCCATAAACCATACAATTAGGTGTAGATTTCCTAAGATTGAATACCCGTTTTTATATATCGTTTACAAAAGGGTAATACTACCGAATCCACAAGGATTCAACACCTGCCTGTGGAAGGACTGAGACGGAAAAGACATTACCTTTACTTAAGCATTCCTCGCTGACCGACGCCCTTTCGGCACTGAAAACACTTCCTTGGAATACAACGAAACGGACAAAATTGAAATAGCTGAAATAGCAAATGATGTCTAGGCTACGTGAATTATTCCCAGTTAAGGACTTTTTTGTGCCTACAGTATAACCAAAATGAACAGCTTTTCATCAAACTCTATGATGAATGTGATGATTTCCATTTCCCTATTATGAAGTTAAAATTGTCTAGAAAGCAATATTCCTGCATCCCCTTTCTATGGCCTTTCGTTTGTTCGTATGTTACCCCAGTTTAAGTACACTTCAGTTGGTATTTTGGTAGGTTTTTATAATTTAGTATCACTGTTTTTTCTTATTTTTTAGATTGCATATCAAATGCCATTCTTTCATATTCATTCAAACTTGACTTTTACTTCTATATCATATTTATTTGAAACTTCATTTACTTTGGTTTTTACAAATGAAAGAAAATGCAAATTTCTTAATTGATTGTTTATACTTAAATTTTTTCATTTCTGAGATATGTCTTTATGTAATTTTCGACAATATCAGCGATTTGATTATTCATATTTCCCGTGCAAAGTAAGGATGTAATAATTTGCTCTTTAAAGGTACTTATGAACATTACTATTGTTGTCAGATAGATGTAAAAAACGAAATTTATTGCACTATTGCGCTAGTGCTCCTCCTTATCTAACTTTAGACTTTTATTTCGATTACTTTAAACTTGTGTTCGATCGCCTCCTAGGCTTCAGAAATTATAAATTATTAATTCATGATTTGACTCTACTGCATCTAAATCGCAATTTGAATCAAAAGATCATATTAACTTGAGTGTCTCTTGTGCAATCATTCATTGTCACATCAATAAAACAAATAATCATTTTATAAGTATTGATACAATTTGGTTTTTAAATTTTACATTTTTTAAATCCTCCGTTTGATAGATATCGAGGTAGGTAATTTTACTTTTTATACACAAATAACTCTTCTTTTACCTGACCAAATGAACTGCTTAAGTTGATATATGTTATGAGTACGACAAGAGTATTTTCTTAGACCTCCACCTGTGCAGACCATGCATTCAAGCTGCGGAGATGTCAAAAATCAACTTAGGTCAACCATTCATATTCAGTTTATCTCGGTACACAAATTTCGAAGTGATAAAAATGGTTCAAGGTTTTGTGCAATCAATCTGACACACTTGTGTAACGATAGGTCACCTACATATAGTTACCATGATGCAAAGCCTGTGATAATAAGTACAAAATTACAAATGTTATGATTATTCTCTTTTGCATAATTACATATGGAAGGATCATAACCGGTTACAGAGATAAGTTCAATAATTGATCAAGGCTTCCTTTAGATATATCTTTTAAAAAAGATTTTTACATTGAAAATATCAAATAAACATTGCATTTGCATTCGACTTGGATTAGTGAAGTAATAGTTTGTTATATATTTTTCTCCTATACATTTAACAAATCCTTTTTTGCAATTTAATAAATATTGAAATTCATCGCCAATATTGGAATTACATAAGATACATGTTTTTACTTGACGAGGAATACCTAACCATCTTCCTGTTTCTGCAGGTAAATGCATATTTTTAAGGAACGAAACTTACACGTTTTCCCCTATTTTTAGTATAAAGCTTATCAATTAAATACTTTCTTATTCAAATAATGGATTATTTTCTGTATGTATTGATCCTTCGGTCTATTTTTTACCATTGTAGATTGAAGGTTGCATTTTCTTGTCACGTTTACTTTAACTTTGATATGGTAATCAGCTTATACCAGAATACTATCATTTAATTTCAATGTCTAGTGGGTATCTTTACCATAAACAAAGAAATTCGTTTTTTTATTCTTAAATTAAGTATATTTTTGCAAACTTGCATATTGATTTTTTCAATAGTTCTAGTTTCTAGTTTAATAAGTGTATACAAATAGGGGGGTATATAAGGGGTGATAATTATACCCATGGCAGTGCTTTGCTTTATACTCAATAACAGATACAGATAAGATGAGTAGTCCATATTTAGTAAAATATTAGATAACAAATTTTACATAAGTTACATGAGACACCGGCACACAGATGAGCACCGCCACACCGACCACACACCATTCACATGACCCTATATATATGCGGACCTGTGTATTATTATGTAGATAATTAACTACATGTAACATTAATACTGAACATTTTCGTCAGGTTGGAAAATAAGGAGTATGTAAAGATTCTTTATACACAACCAGGAATTTTAATATGTGACGTTTCGGTGACCAGTACGATCCGTACGCGGTCACCTTCTTCAGACAAATGACCAGTAAAGCATGTACACAAAGGTGTGATATGTGTACGAGTTGTCGTGGAATAGCGTCGATTTCGGACATGCTGACAAGTGCCGAAATGACTGTTAGCGAATAGTAAAACCATTCGGCTACGCTTATTTTATTACTTGGTCACACATCACTAACAACATCAAGTTTACATGTGGGGAAGAAACCAATTGCGGAATGCCCTTCCTAGACACACTTATAGCCTGAAGAGAAGACGGAACAGTGAAGTTATTGGTCTACAGGAAAAAGACCAACACAGACCAATACCTCAACTTTAAATCCCACCACCCTTTACATCAGAAGTTAGGGGTCGTACGCACGTTGCTCAATCGATGTGAGACCATAGTCACAGAACAACAGGACAAAATTCAAGAGCAGAGCCACATCATGAAAGCAATGAAAAATTGTGAATATCCGGAATGGGCCCTTAAACGGGTACAAAAACAGTGTCAAAATAAAGAAAAAAACAGAAAAAGACCTATGAAAGATCACAACAAAACAAAAATCCATGTGGTCATCCCATATATAAAGGGTATATCTGAAACCATCCAAAGGATATACCGCAACCATGGCATAGCAACAGCCATGAAGCCCCACAAGACGCTTCGAAATATCCTAGTCCACCCTAAGGATAAGATAACCAAAGAGAATGTCGCAGAATGCATATACAAGATCGGGTGCAAAAACTGTGACGCGTCATATATTGGAGAGACTGGAAGGCGATTCGGGGTTCGCCTTGGGGAGCACCGGAAAGACACCGAAAGACAAGAGGAAAAGAAGTTCACCCGATCAGAGAGGAAGCAGTCGGAGTCCCAGATAAACAAATCGCCAATCACTGACCATGCCATGCAGGAAAACCATGTGATTGACTGGGAAAACTCAAAGGTGCTCGATAGGGAGAACCATCTTCTGAAGCGACAGATCAAAGAAGCCATCTGGATACGCCGCAGCGGGGCAGTTCTGAACCGAGATGAGGGGGCTCATAGACTCTCGCACATCTATGACCAAGTAATAAAATAAGCGTAGCCGAATGGTTTTACTATTCGCTAACAGTCATTTCGGCACTTGTCAGCATGTCCGAAATCGACGCTATTCCACGACAACTCGTACACATATCACACCTTTGTGTACATGCTTTACTGGTCATTTGTCTGAAGAAGGTGACAGCGTACGGATCGTTCTGGTCACCGAAACGTCACATATTAAAATTCCTGGTTGTGTATGAAGAATCTTTACATAATACATGTAACATTAGCTGTAGATCAACAAAGACGGCTAACCATGTGTAAACCAACATCTGATCGCCTACCTTATCACAACCTAGGAACAGTGTACATACACATTTATTCCTATTCATTCGTATTTCAAACTAAATTCCTTTATAACATTACTTTGCTCAAATAATTCAAATTGGTTCAAATCGAATGCCTTAGTAAAATCGATTAACGTACAATAAAGTTTTTTTCTGGTGTAAAAAATGAGATTGGTGAATACAAAACAAAAATATTGTCTGTTGTAGAATGACCTTTTTCTAAACCCAGCCTCATGACAATGTATTAGGTCAAACCCATCAGAGATGTTATCGTAACGATTATAATTAGCCGAGATTAATATGAGGGCACTATACTATATCAAAGGAGAAGCCATTACATATCCGCTTTGTATATTTTGTAACATTCTTTCCGGACTGTTTCAAGTATCGTCTTTTTCGTTTTTATTTCCTGGCAAGTACTTGAGTTCTTATAAGGATCAGAGCATCTTATATATCCTTTGTTCCACATAATCTAATGGTTTAATGTGATCACAAACTCCACCTTGACGCATGCGTCAGCAGGAGGATGTGAGTTTGACATAATTTCCCCGTCTTTCGCTTCCTACGATCGTACAGGTACAGAATTCAGCGGGAGGACTGTAAGCAATCGTGTTTTATTTGAATGCTATTGTTTATATCTGTTAGAATAATTACAGGATTGAGACAATATAATCACATTCTCTTGGAAATAAGACTTTTTATGTTTGTGCCATCTCTCTTGATACATAGACAAACGTGAAAGACATTCTCACCGCCTTTAGTCTTATTTAGTAAATACTTGTACATGTATATATAACCTAAACACGGAATCATAACACGGAGTACAGCTTATATAATGAAGTCTTTATTTATCAATGTATTTATTTGCATGTAGATTGAATCGGGATTCATGACGAGATACAACTAATAAATTACGTGAACGACCTTGTCTTATAACCTATATGGGTAGAACAATTGTAAGGAAACTAAAATGAATTGTTATTTTTAACTGCAGTTCATGGAAAATAACTAACTTCTGTCATATTTCAATATATCTTATCAGAAACAATATACATGAAATATTTCTTGGTCATGTACAACTGAAATTTTATAATAACGTTTGAAGTGTCGGAGAAACGGGAAGAATTTTATTCGAGGATGGATATGAACTCACTGATGTTGATTATGTATTGACTGATGGCGTATTGTTAGTTTAAAACCGAAAAAAATTATCGATAATATGAAAATAAAATTTCTCAACATTAAAATTGTCTTTGCATTTGTCTTTGTTATTGTGGTAAATCTTAATGATCCTTTCATTTTCATATAAAACAGAGATACGTCGATTTAGCATGCCGCTCTGGATGATAATTACGATTGTGTAGGAGACAAAATGTTGAAGGGGAAGACCATTCTGTTTAAAAGCTTGGTACATCAAGTATTTACTCAACTATAAAGAAATGATGTAATAGAATTTTCTAAAATGACTGGTCAGTTCCATTTACTTTAATCTTGTTTTGTCTCTTGTTTCAGGTCACGTGTTGATTTGGGGAATCGGTTAAATTCATATGACACTGCAACTGTATGTGTTAAGTACGGACTCATGTCGGCAACACCAGACATGAAGAGAGACAACGATATCCACCTCTTTCTCGTCAGCGGAAAGTGTGTTATGTCTCCAAAGTTTCATACCAAGTTTTCGATTGCAGGTGAACTACAGAGATATCATAATAGATATACGTTTTCTTCTGTGACACCGGGCATGGTCGGCAAAAGACGAGTTTTCTCTTACATAGAAAACGGAGATTAGTTCCCGTAAACTGGAAGACTAGTCGACCTACAAAATTGAAAAAAAAACCAAAGAAACACACACGCTACAGTGACATGGATTTTAACTTACATGTGAGTTATGCAGAGTACTACAGGTTTTCTTGTGATGCTGCATCCGAAGCATCTCTTTCCGGATACTATCGGCATTTTAAGTCCGACATTGTGAACTATCCAATATTGCAAACAGAGGCAACATTTCTGGGCGAGCGCGGACCTTGGGAATTCCTACTAGTTTATACGTGGCAGGATGAAAATGAATCTTTGAAAATTACATTTTTCAACTTGTTTGAAGGACTTGAGAGAAAAATTCAAACCTGTTTTATTGATGATAGTGAAGGACACACGATCAGGTCATGTCATGTTTATAAAACTTACTGCTACACGAGCTTCTTTGAACGCCTCACTTTAACCTATCTGATATTTGTGTTTGGGTGATACCACTTATGGCATAATTTCCATTTAAACATACTTATCTGTTAAGATTTCTAACATAAATTGATATATTTGCGGTGTTGTGGTGGCGTTTAAACCACTGAATGAATTCTAGGAGCTCAATATTCGATGTATTCTATAAATAACTATTTTCGAGGACACTAGATTTAGTATATGAATATATTTCAATGAATCTGCTTGTACTAATCTCCTGGTGTAACACGTGACACGGTGATTCGTACATGGATTTTCTGTCACCGCTTAAACCTCAAAAACAGACTGAAACGTTGGAGAAGTTACTCGGTTTTCAGTGCTGAGAAATTCACGAGTCGACTGCATGAATCCATGGTTAAAACAAATGGTAACTATATCCTATTGGAGAATACTGATTCCCCACAGGGACACATGACCTGCGTTACAAAAGTCAATAGATAAACAAAACAGCACAATTTGCCATTGGCAGAATCATTCTCTTTACCAGAGTTGATGGAGTGTACATTGAATTTCACCCATTTTCTAGTTAGGGGTAATTGACAAACATTAATAGAAATTATTAAACACATTTTGAAAAGAACAAATCTGATAACGTTTATAATAATTTTTAATATCAAACAAGCATTATTTTGTTTGTCGGATTGTTCACTAAACAATTAACAAAAACTGGAGTTGTCGAACATATCGATTGCCAAACAATTATCAGTTAATCTGATTATTATGATATTTATTGATGATATGTCTTAACCTACAATATAGACAACATATCTATCAATATATTTTCATATCAATTTATCAGCATCAGCATTCGAATACGTTTCTGTTTATAGGCAAGTTGATATGATACTACACATAAATATATTAAATATTAAATGAGTGGTATCGCCGAAATGTAAACATAATGACATCATCATAATTCCTGAATTTCGAAAGTATGTCGTAAACAATGTCTATAGACATGACATGACTTTTTCCCGTGAAATGTTTCTGTCGAGAACAAACCAGGCCTGAAATATCCTTGTCCCCTTTGAATAAATTGCAAAAAATAACTTTGTTATGGCAATTTCGTCCTGCCAGGTGTAAATGTCCAGTTGTTCCTCAGGTCCACACCCACCCAGAAATGTTGCTTCTGTCTCCATGACAGAATAGTTCACAATGTCGGACGTATAGTGTCTATAGTATCCGGAGCGAGAAGCTTTCGATGCTGCATCACAACAAAACTGGTAGTATTGTGCAGTGTTGGGATGGTCATTGAAATCTAGGTCACTGTAGCGTGTTTTGATGGTTGTTTTGAAGGCTCTGTCGGGAGGAATGAGGGCGTCCTGCCTTCTCGTTATCAATGTCTCCTCTTCCTGATTAACAAGTTTACTCATATTTTCATAATACGATTTTGGAAACTTTGTCGATCTGCGGGTCTCAAAATTTACAGAAATTAATCTATTTTCAGACTTCAAGTACCATTCTCCGTTATCGATGTCTGAAAATACTGTTTTGCTGCCCACGCTTGAGGGTGTAACACATGACACGGTGCTTCTTACATGGAGTTTCTGTAATTGATTGAACCACGATAACTTAGTGTGAAACTTTGGAGACATTACTTGTTTTTCACTGATGAGGAAAAAACGAATATTTTCTCTTGCCAATTCACGAGTCGACTGCATGAATCCATGGTTAAAACAAATGGTAACTATATCCTGTTTGAGTTTACTGATGCCCCACAGGGACACATGACCTGCATTACAAGAGTCAAGAGGTAAACAAAACAGCACAATTTGCCAATGGTAGTTCTGTCAAGTGAGCGCAGAATCATTCTCTTTATCACAAAGTTGAAGGAATGTACATTGAATTTTTACACATATTCTAGTTATTGGTAAATTCTAGAACAATAATAGAAATTATGTAACAGTTTGAAGAGAACAAATCGGATAACATTGACCTTTTTTTAAAATTTTAATACCAAACATATGTCGAATCGTTCACAAAACAATTAACAAAAACTGAAGTTATCGAACATATCGATTGCCAAACAATTATTAGTTAATTTGATTATTATGATTTTTATTCATGTAACAACGAAAATGTATGTCTTAACCTCCAATATAGACAACATTTTTATAAATATTATTATAAACATCAGCATTCGAATACATTACTGTTTATAAGCAAGATTAGATGAACAAGGACCCAATCCTAAAACAGACAAAATACATTTTTTCATTCAAAAACATTTGGATTTTCTGACTGTACGTACCTGTTCTATCTCGATAAGCAGAAGCCGGGCTGACGATGTCAAGCTCACATCTCTCTGGTGATGCATGCCTCAAGTTGTAATTTGTCATCGTAGTCATTAAGCACTTTCTGTAAAATATCACATAATATATACCTAACTTTGATCTACTCCGGATGTAATGTTCTCTCTAGTTTTCCATTCAATGTAATATTCAAATGATAATGATATTAGAGACTACTTTTTAAATTATATTATAAAGAAAGTGCCGTGATATACACAAAACCTTAATTAAATAAAAAGCTGAAAATTAGAAATAATGATATTTTTGCTATACTATGTATAGTGTCAAAAATCGACTGAAGGTTAATACAGAGTATAATATTCTGTTTTTCCTTAAGTGGTCTAATGCTATAAAGACTGGTTGCTTCTTAACATTAAAAAACATTAATTCGGTAACACACAAACCAAACATAGATGCTGATAGCGTATTTCAACACAGAGATAGAACCAGTATTACATTTCCAAATTTGAGATAAATAATGAATCAAGATCGAGAAAGAAGGAAGTAAAATAGTTAATTCAGTGTTGACAGATTCTAATAATACTGACATCTGCTTAAAGGGGAATAACCACGATATCGATTTATACACCAATATCTAGGTCAACATTTATTGGGAAAGTGTAGTAAATACCTATCAAAAAAATACAATTAATGAAGTCACAAATCTGACAAACGATAAATATGCCATACCTGTTACTTTCTATGAGATCAAAATAACATTTACACTGATTCTACACCGGCAATACTATGCCCCTTCGTTTGAACTACATAACGAAAAGCATTTAAAAAACATTAAGGTATCTTGGTCCAACACTCTGTGCCCCCAAAACAGATGATTTTGTGTGCGTTTTAAAACACTGAAAAAAAGACCGAGACCTATATGTTTTTGCTATATGTTTCATTGTAACATCAAAATTCATAACTGAATGCCAAGGTTTCCGTTTCAAGATCAACACCTGAGATGCAAAATGTTAACGTTTCAACCCATCATATTCGGCATTTTCTGGAGTTACGCCTCCATGTGTTTCACTTGCAGCACAAAATGCATGTTCGATATGATTGACTTACACACCGATAGTGAGATTATCATCTCTATAACACATCTATATCAAATTCAAAGAGGCATATTCAGTTTTTCATGATAAACACACATTTCTAAGGATTTAATTCTTTGGGCTTGAAAAGAATTGAGTGACAACATGTAGTTGTGAGGTTTTGAATGTAATGTAATAACAATGTAAAGTTAATGGAATGAGAGCGTGTGCGTTTATATTTGTGTGAATTGTTTAAATGTGTAAATTATTGATATGTTTCCATTATATGAATACTCTTTCATGTGCGTACTGGGTTGTATCGGTGTGAATAAGTGTTATTTTATTGTGTAGTGCAGAGTGATCAGGTATATACAAGTGCACGTGGATTTTGTGTGGTGAACTGTTGTCGTGTGTCATTAACTGTATATGGGAGTGTGGCCTTATTAGTTAGATTCGAGTTAGAGTATATAAGGGCCTGAGTGATCCTTCTCCCTGAGTTATGCTCACTATCTTAGCAGTATATGTATAAGTACGAGCAGGCAGATTTGTTGAAGCCGGCGTAACGGCAGCTTTACGCCAAGTATTATTGTACGGCATATGATCGCCATGTTAGCCCAGACCAGTGCTCCCTATGTGTGTATGTTTTGTTGAATGTATATGTCTACATGTTGTGTCTACGCCAGGAATACGTAATAAATCTTTCGCCATGTAAATACATCTTGTCATTAATACTGAGAACCGACTTACTAGACGACACGCTTACCGGAAACGCGTGGTAGTCCTTTACATAGTTCTTTTTAATTGGGATAGGAATTTGTAATTTTCCCCTTTATTTTTATATCAATTATCAACTATTATATACTACAAACAACAATATTCCTATAATTTGAATTCAAAATACGAATAAGATGAACACCTGTTCTGCTATCCAGAAATTTTAATTTGCACTCATGAATAGCCTTAATGCACAATTCTTATACATACATTAATAAACAATATTCCTTCGGTAGCAGTTTATTATGCGAAGTTCGAGAAAACATTGGTATCTATCACACAAAAGGCATAATTGTATATTTTATTGAGATGAATAAAGTAGTTATCAGAGGCTCCTGGACGAGTAAGACCAGTTTTCGTTACCTCTGGTCTGATAACATTTCTAATTGGGACAAGTGAAATAGTGGATAAAACAAGTGACATCAAGGAATCAATATTACTGTAAGATTTAGTCACAAATATACTCTCTTTGATGACAATATCAATTACAAATATTTATTACATTGACTATCAAATGAACTTACCAAATTGATACTTTGTATCACTTATTCGTTCTAAGTATGATATATCATCTATTGTTATATACATATATATACATATAAGACGACAAAACATATTTAATTGTGATGCACAGATAACGTATCTACAGCATTATGAAAAGTGTAATGTATATAAACGGCTAACTTAAATTCCACGATGAGAACTTCTCATTTTGTATTAAATCACATATGCTAGACTTGACTTACCCGTAAATACGCATAAGTTATTAGTAGTGCACGTTACCCCGATAATGAAGTGAAGGTCCTAATAGGATTGTATTTTGTGTGGAATGGTTCTCCTCTAGAGAGATGGTCTGCAATGTGTTTGTAATCACTGAGTTATCCAACAAGCTTCTGATTGCTGAAACATCAGGTGATTGTCCTGGAAAGTCGTAGGTTACGTATTCATATACTTTGTCATGAATTGTGTTGCTGTATATTGACCTAGTAATCGCACTCTGGTTTGGCGGCGTTCGTGACCTACTGACTCAATATCGGTTATCTTCTAACCGATGATATCACTGTCAGAACTGACCTTTTTTAACAACCTTAATATCGAACATTTGAATCATACACGAAACAAATATTGGTTTATGTTAACATTCTGTAATTGTAGCTTCCATGCAGCTACGACGGTGATTTATTTGGTTTGCTTGATTTATTAAATTGATAAGTTTTGATATTTTTCCATGAAACCTTACTGGTCTGTATGTCAACATACGCATCATAATTAGCCAACTAAACAATATTTTCTCAGTATAACCTGCGACAGAAGGAATAGGGTGTGTGACTTGTTCATGAGTTATGCTTTGTTCAATCATTCCAATTAACGTCAAAGAAGTTATGACCTTTTATATAGAGGGTTTTCTTGTTTACAAATAAGAATAGCTAAACAGCTGTTAATATTGTTCGTATTTGGAATTCAAATCATACGAACATTGTTATCTGAATTATGTAATATTTCATACTTGATTTATAATCAAAGAAAAATAGTCCTATCATAATGAAAAGGGACTACATGTTGTCACTTTATCCTTTAGTGAAAAAAGTAAAACGAGTATTTTTGGACTCAGTGGAGAACATACATTTCGTAAATATGCTATATCCAATATACAAGCAAATTACGTGCACTGCGTAATTAATGATTCTTTACAGATGAAGTGTTGGTTATTATTAGTTCTGTTTGGCTGAGACCATAACTGAATATTTCTGGATTCAGACCCCAAGAATTAAGTCACTAGAAAAGTATGTATACTAGGGGAAAATGGTATACCTCTTTGAATTGGATGTTTACCTATAAACTTAATGCAGATCTGTTATAAAGATGATAATCTCACTATCAGTGTGTAAATCAATCATATTGAACATGTATTTTGTAAATTAGGTGACACACATGCAGGTGTATCTCCAGAAAATGCCTAACATGATGGGTTGAAACTTTAACATTTTGCTTCTCAGATGTTGATCTTGGCTAGTAGAGACGGAAATTTGTAGATGAAACTTTGGGAGTTTGTTATGAATTCTAATGTTACAATGAAACGTATAGCAAAATAAATTGTGGACTCGGTCCTAGTTTCAGTGTTTTAAAACGCACACAAAATCATCTGTTCTGGGGGCACAGAGTGATGGGCCAAGATACCTTAATGTTTTTAAATGCCATTCTATATATAGTTCATACGAAGGGCGAAGTACTACCGGTGTAGACTCAATGGAAATGTTATTTTGATCTCATTGAAAGCAACAGGTATGGCATACTTATCTTTTGTCAACAACTGGATTCTCTGTCTCAGACTGATGAACTGATGATAACTTACGTCAGGAATGACGTGAATGAATACTGTAGGATAGAACGGACAATCGTTTCTTGTTTGGTCGGTATGTTGAAGTAAGGAAGAATTAAATTCGACAACAACCGTGTGAATGCGTACTATTCCTAACAATTCCTATGTCTAACAAAGTTAATTTTTTCTGATTCAGATTCGTGACTTGAGAAATTGTAATTTTGATAGGTATTTACGACACTTTCCCTATAAATGTTGACCTAGATATTGGTGTATAAATTGATATCGCGGTTATTCCCCTTTAAACAGAAATCTGTATCTCTCAGTGCACGATTTTCCTTCTTTCGTTCTCGATCTTGATTCATTATTTATCTCAGATTTGGAAATGCAATACTGGTTCTATCTCTGTGTTGAAATACGCTATCAGCATCTGTTTTTTAATTGTGTCTACCGAATTCTTGTTTTTGTAATGTTAAGAAGCAACCAGTCTGTATATCACTGGACTACTTAGAAAAAACTGAATATTAAACTCTGTATTAACCTTAAGTTGATCTGTGACACTATACATAGTATACGTAACAGCAAAAATATCTTTATTTCTAATTTTCCGCTTTTAATTTAATTAAGGTTTTGTGAATATCTTGGTATTTTCTTTCTTATAATATCATTTAAAAAGTAGTCTCGAATAATAAATCAAAGTTAGGTATATAATATGTGATATTTTACAGACATTGCTGTATGACGATGACAACAGTCTAAGACTGGGTCTTAGTTCATATTGTTGTGTCTATAAACATAAATGTATTCGAATGCTGATACTGAGAAAATAACGTAATTAGTTGTCATTAATTACAACTTCAAAGTATTTTTCAAGTTTGTGGATTTTCAATATATAATAAACAGAAATCACAATACTTCAACTGACAATGTTTAACATTGATTAGTCTGATTACTCCAGTTTTTTTTTTTGTTTTTTTTTTTTTTTTGTTAATTAAACAATTTGCCCTAGATCTTTTTTCCGACATACAAAAAATGTTGTTTGGAATTTAAGTCTCATGATAATCCTTTTCCATATTTCGTTCTCGATCTTGAATGATTATTGATCTTAGATCTTGAAATGAAATACGATTTCACCTCTCTCTAGTTTATGTTATAGTCCTCTGTTCAAATAATTTGTGTCTTACCGAATTCCTTTTTTTTATTAAAAAAAAGCGATAGCCAAGGCAGTATAGCATTAAACAACTTTGAAATAAACAGAATAGTGAACTCTGAATTATTCTCTAATTGATCTATGATACTAAGCATTTCTTGATTCTCCTGATCTTTTTAATCATTTTCCTAAGTAGTGAAACTCGAAACAGTTGTCAGATTATTTTGACGGCATACATAACATCTCATGAACCGTTTGTTTTTTGTTTTTGTTGTTGTTGGTTTTTTTTTTTTTTTTTTTTTTTGGGGGGGGGGGGTGTTTTTTTTGGGGGGGGGGGGGGCTGGGGGGAGGGAGTGTTAAGCACTCAGTCCATTGCCTTATATTTAAAAGCTCGTTGACCTTCTCGTTATCGGAGGCTATTCGTGGGGGAAGATAATTTGTATTCAACTTATCCTTTTGGTATTAGCTTCTACAAGGACAAGTTTGTTTGTCAAGACTTTTAATCTCGGAATTCCTCTGCTTATCTTCTTGTTCTGTCAGATTTTTATAACCGACATTGAGTCAGCAGGTCACGAACACCACCAATTCAGAGTTCGATTTCTAGGTCAATATACAGTTACGTAATTCATGACAAAACACGATTAATGTAACGTACGACTTTCCAGGACAATCACTTTATGTTTCAGCCATCAGCAAACACAAACACATTGCAGACCATCTCTCTAGCGGAGAACCATTCCACACAACATACAATCCTATTGGGACCTTCACTTCATTATCAGGGTAACGTGCTCTGTTGAGTTATACGTTTTTACGGGTAAGTCAAGTCTAACATATGTGATTAAATATAGATATGACGATGCTTTCGTTACTTCCTGTTTATTGTAGAATTGAATTCTTTTTTATTTTTAGAATCGATAGAATTTGAGGTGTTGAAGTCTCCTGTAAGCCTTAGTAATTGAATAGATATTATAACCGCGGAGTAGCGCAGTCGATACGAGTGCCTCTTCAATCACGTTTACTTTTGTTTTCTTGGTCTTGTCATTCTCTTCCTGTATTGTATTGATTCATTGCTTGATATTTTTCTTTGTTTTTCACTTAAATAATGCAACTAGAAATAAAAGATTTCATTTTTAGTGTTAAAACATAACTACATCTGTAAGGAAACGCGATTGTCAAGTTATTTTGATGACATAAAAAAAACTTATGCGTCATGTTCTAATCTAAGTTTAAACAGCTTGACCTATTAATGTAATACATATAAGAATTTATCATACGATAATTATAGCTTAATGCTTGCTGCTAACTTTTGAGTGGAATTTAAATTAGCCGTTTGAATATATTGCACCTTTCATAATGCGGTAGATACGTTATCTGTGCATAACAATGAAATATGTCATCTTATATATATATAAATATATCAATAGATGATATATCATACTTAGAATGAATAAGTGATACAAAGTATGAAGTTGGTAAGTTCATTTGATAGTTGATGTAATAAATATTTGTAATTGATATTGTCGTCAAAGAGAGTATATTTGTGACTAAATCTTACAGTAATGTTGATTCCTTGATGTTACTAGTTTAATCCACTATTTCACCTGTCCCAATTAGAAATGTTATGGTTATGCTTTTTTCTGTGAACATCTCCGTATTTTCTATGTTGTTATCATAATATTATTTACAAACAGTCATTAATATTATTGTCATTTTAATATTCTATTAAGTGAAAACAAATGCGAAAATAGGAATAAGAATAAATCAAAGTTTGATGTATGGTATGTGGACTTTTACAGATACTGTTGTATCAAGACAATGACGAATTACAAACTGACATATGCGGTACCTGGGAGATGTGAGTTTGACATTGCTAGCCCGGCTTCTGCTTACCGAGATCGAACAGGTACTTGTAGCTAAAAAATCCAAATGGTATCTGTAAATGAAATAGATATGTGTAGAAATTTGTTGTTAGCGCATGTACTTTTATTCTGATGTTGAGATATTGACATGAGATATATTTAGAAAGATAAGTTAGTTTAAGGTTGGGTACTAAGATTTGATTTTATAACGTAAAAAGTAACTCCATTTTAAGTGTTATTTAAACGTAATCTGGAGAAAAATAGTTTGTATCTCTTTGAACGATCCGACATACAAAATTTTTTTTTTTTTTTTTGGTTTTTTAATAACAGAACGGTCCAATCAATCTCATTTCCATTAATGTTGTTCAATTTCCTATCAGAAATAAATGAGTTTTAAAATGTGCAAAAGTCAATACAGTACAATTCAACAGTAAAAAAAGGTTAAAGGGCGATTCTGTGCTGAACTTCAAGAATCTCGAAAATAACGTTGTACGGCTTTGTTGACTTGTTGGCTTTTTTAATGCAGGTCATTTGTCCCTATGGGGAATCAGTAAATTCGAACAGGACACAGCTACTATATGTGGTAACCATGGATTTATGCAGTCGATACGTGATATGGCAAGTAAAAATAATATTCGTTTTTTCCACATCAGCGAAAAACGTATAATGTCTCCAACGTGTCACTCTAAATTATCGTGGTCCGGAGTCAAACAAGTTCACGTACGTTTCAATGTGTCGTGTATAACACCTGGAAGTGTAGGTAACAAAAGAGTATTTTCTGACACAGAATCTGGTGATTGGTATATGAAGTCCGAAAATAGACTTGTTGCCGTAAACTGGGACAATCGAAGACCAGTAAAATTTCCAAAATCGTATTATGAGAGTGCAAGTGAACTTGTTGATAAAGAAGAGGAAATATTGATAACGAGAAGGCAGGACGCCCTAATTCCTCCCGACAGAGCCTTCAAAACAACCATCAAAACACGCTACAGCGACCTAGATTACAATGACCATCCCAACACTGCACAGTACTACCAGTTTTGTTGTGATGCAGCATCGAAAGCTTCTCGCTCCGGATACTATAGACACTATACGTCCGACATTGTGAACTATCCTGTCATGGAGACAGAAGCAACATTTCTGGGTGGGTGTGGACCTGAGGAACAACTGGACATTTACACCTGGCAGGACGAATGCGACATAACAAAGTTATATTTCGCAATTTATTTGAAGGAAGCAAGGATATTTCAAGCATGTTTTGTCCTCGACAGTAAACTTTCGCAGGACAAGGTCTTGTCAAGTCTATAGGAATTTTCAACGACATATGTTTTACATGTATTTGCCATCAATGGTAACTACTATAGAAATATTGAATACGTACAATTCCGTAGGAAGATATCGTTTTAAATTTGTGCATCTAAATATTCATTTGTTTTTTATACTCGATAAATGAATCCTTTCTCTTTTCTCTCTCTCTCTCTTAATAGCTCAAGTCTATATATATATATATATACTATATAGTGATATATATATATATATATATATATATATATAATTTAAAATAATAAAAACTTTGTGTATATATATTTGTTTGTCATGTTAAGTGATTAATTTTCTCTCTCTCTCTCTCTCTCTCTCTCTATATATATATATATATATATATATATACAAGTCATCAGGTTTAATTCGGTGAAGTGTGAAATATCACTAATCATCTGAGTGTATGTAATTGTAGATTTCCTGTACACCGATCAAAACATTTGTGTCGGCACCTTGTCTAAAATGCCTAATGTAGCTACAAAAAAATGATTTTTCATTTAAAGCAAATACGAATGTTTCGAATATTCAATCTTAATCCTTTTTCTTTTCTCTGCACTTTCCTCCATCTTTTCGTATCTATATCCCTTTCTTTTTCTCGTTAGAAACAGTACAAAAACATCACGTTTTCAATCTGTCTTTCTTTAGTTACATGTATAACAGTATAAGTATGTGCTAAAAGGTCTAATTTCTCATGTATCTAACAATATAGAATATTACAAATGTGATTATTTATACAGCTGTAAAAATTCCAAAATTCGAAAAAGAAATAAAAAAAATACATTCAGTCTATCTAAAGCAAGTCAAATAACCCATGCTTTGTTTCCATCACATCAGAAATATCAAAGAGAACAGACCCGTGTCAAATGAACACGAATCGCTGTGATATCCAGAAAAGGATTATCGCTATTCATTGGTAGTACACTCCCGAACAAAATGTTATCATCAAATAGTGTGCACAAGTATGCGCAACCTATCATTTGGTGATACGACGTTATGTTAAACATTCACAGCATGTCAACAACTTATGTATCAATAAATATCATCGGATTTAAAATGAAGGATCTCCGGTGAGAATGAAAAATATTTCTTGTTATGTTTTATGCACTGGCTAGTATCAAACTAAAGACCATTCAAACGACTAATTCAAATTAAATTATTGACCAAGAGTACAACGAGGTATACTAAACAATAGGCTAAACAGCTTCACGTAGATTACAATTTCTGTCTTCCTACGGCACGTCAGGGCCATGCAATGTGGAAGGCGAGCTACAAGATAGATATTGGTCTGTTAAATATCAAAGTATAGATTGAGTGTGCACTCAGCCCATCATTTAATACATTTCATATATCCTAAATTGTTGATTACTTTAAGATAAATATCAAAGTCGTATTGATATCATAGTGGGGAAATGACATTTAATCAAATTCTTATTAAAATGCAAATATGTTATAGATTACAACCCTACAGTCTACATCAAAGAAACTAGTTTAGATGCCGATATCCTGCTGCGCCTTGCACGTGTAGCACCTCCGTGGTCTAGATGCCTACCTCCTACTATTGGCAGCAAATGTATCCTAATCGTGGTAAGGGGTTGATATCGATCTGTAGTCAGCATGTTTAGCCCCACTGTGGTTTAGATACCGGTGTCCTACTGTAGTCATCAAGGGTACACCCTCCGTATATCGATAACCTATTTTAGTCTCCAAGTGTATTGTCTACCTGGTCTTGAGGTTGATAACTAACTGTAGTCAGCACGTGTTTACCTCTGTGGTCTAGAGGCTGGATATGATATTGAATAGACAACTGAAGCGAAAATTTAAAAGTTAGGTATATATAATGGGATATTTTACAGACACTGCTGTATGATGATGACAACAGTGTAAAACTGGGTTTTCGTTCATATCGTCTTGACAATAAACATAAATGTATTCGGATGCTGATGCCGAGACAATATCGAAATCAGTTATCATTGAAAACAAGTCATAAACATTGTTTAAGTTTGTGGATTTTCAATGTTTAATCAACAAAAAAACTTTCAACTGAAAATGTTTTACATTTATACGTCTAATTACTCCGGTTCTGCGGGTGAAACAATTTGCCCTAGATCTTTTTTTCTGACATACAAAACAATGTTGTTTGGAATTTAAGTCTCGGGATAATCAACGGTTCCGATATTTTCTTATCAGAATATGCTTTGTAAAAAAAAGTAAAAAAAAAGACAATGCAGTATAGCATTAAACAACTTAGAGATAAACAGAGTAGTGAACCCTGAATTATTCTCTAATTGATCTATGATACTAAGCATTGCTTGAATCTCCTGAACATTTTAATCATTTTCCTAAGTAGTGAAACTCGAAACAGTTGTCAGATTATTTTGATGGAATACATAACAACTGATGCACCGTATTGTTTGTTTGTTTGTTTGTTTGTTTTTTTTTTTTTTTTTTGGGGGGGGGGGGGGGGGGGGGGGGGGTGGGGGGAGGGAGTGTTAAGCACTCAGTCCATTGCCTTATATTTAAAAGCTCGTTGACCTTCTCATTATCGGAGGATATTCGTGGGGGAAGATAATTTGTATTCAATTTATCCTTTTGATATTAGCTTCTACAAGGACAAGTTTGTTTCTCAATACTTTTAATCTCGGAATTCCTCTGCTTATCTTCTTGTTCTGTCAGATTTTTATACATGTGAAAAAAGACCTCAGTTATCCCCTGTGGCAGTTTCTATGTTGCACATTAAAACTAACATAGGAGATAATTGAGGTCATCTTAAACACGTACAAGATGACCTCAATTATTATCATACCAGTTGATCATAGGGCACATGAGCATATGTTTTATACTTATCATGTGCAATCTGCCTTAGCTACAACTATGGAAATTCAGGAAAGTGATGAATGATGTTATTATTGTATGATTCTTGAAGGTGTTGAAATTATATGTCATCATTTTCTGATACATACATTGATAGTGGTAATCACTGCGTGAAGAGATTTGTGTTGCCGCTGTCTGTGTACAGCAGGGAAGACTGGAGTCTTACAAAATATTTCAATTGTCTCGCTTCAGGTTGTCACATTTCCTGAAGGGTGTGTTTTGGAATGAATCGACACTAATGATTATTCGCTTAGTTGACTGATTATGGTGATAATGATGAAATACATATCAGTAAGGTTTTATGTGAAAAGACGAAATATAGCATGGAAAAGCTGTTAATTTAATAAAGCATTTTATAATATAAGAAAGCATTATCAAACGACATTGCCATACTTGCTAGCTACATTTACAAAAATGTTAACTTATAGCAATGTTTTTGTCATGATTTTTGTCAAATTCGGAAACAACGCGACGATCCAAATCTCTCTGATTGAGGAGCTAATAGAAAAGTTTTGCTAAGACTCTATGGAGCCCTTATTAGATCAAAATTAGACTACGGTTCCATTGTGTATGTATCGGCTATATCTTCATATCTCTAATTATTAGACACTGTTCATCACCAATGTCTTAGGCTCGCTCTCGGAGCTTTTAAGACCATACCTACAACAAGCCTCTATGTAGAGGCTAACGAACCATCACCATATAGCCGTCGAAAAAAATGGCTATGCAAATACACCATTCAGCTAAAGTCAAATTCTTCAAATCCTGCTTTTTCACTTGTATTTGATCCAAAATATAAATTCTTGTTTCAAAACAAACCAAAAACCGTTTTATCATTGGGCATTCGCATTTCCGCTCTTTTACAAAACTCAAATATTGAAATTGACCAAATTCAGTCATTTGGAACGATAGAAATTCCACCCTGGCACATAAATTCACCTGAAGTTGATTTTTCACTTCATGAAATGGTTCATTCTTCTCGAATTGCAGTTAAAATATCAAACATTTCTACATTTAGATACTGATGGTTCAAAAGATAATAATAAGGTTGCTGCGGTCATGGTTACACAAGATGAAACCTATGGATGCCGGCTACCGAATAACGCCTCAATATTCTCGGCGGAAGCGATAGCTCTCTACCTCGCCCTTGAATATATGCAAAGAAACAAATTGATAAGAGCTGTTATCCATTCAGACTCTCTTTGTGTTCTATAGAGTCTACGCAATAGAAATATCGAAAATATTTTCATTCGTAATACATTAATACTATATCATGAACTTGCCTTTAACTTTTACATTGCTTTTTTGCTGGGTTCCTGGGCACATGGGAATACAGGGCAATGAAAAAGCAGATCGTTCCACAAAGGAAGCTTTATCGCAACCACCTGTTGTTTTTTAACTTTATTTTACCGATTTTAAACTATTTATGAAACAAATTTTTAAAATTCAGTGACAGGAGGAATTAAATATATATACCAATAAGAAATTGCACTCCGTTAAACCTGTTATCGGTTAATGATCTCCAGGCTATAGAGACAACCACCGAGACGAAGTTGTCCTTGTCCATCTTCGGATGGGTCATACATACCTTACACATTCATACATGTTGAAAGGCGAAGATAATCCTCGGTACATAGGATGTGATGAGCCATTCACCGTAAAACTTTTTTATTGGACTGCATTGACCTTCTGTCTACTCGAGGATGTTTTTATCGTAACATTACATGTCTAAAAACCCTTTTTGAAACTGTTGAGATTTGTAAAATTCTACATTACCTGAAAGATGTTGGTCTATATAATAAACTATGACATACCATTTTAATCTTTTGTGTTAATATACCCATTTAAGACTTGTAGCAATTGTCTTTAACGTTTTGGTTTGTTTAATGTTACTTCCTTTTGGATCGCTGTGTGTTTTACCGTTTGATTGTTCTAATGACATTTTATGTGTTGGCGGGTCGTTAAGAATGCAACAATAATGATAATAATAATTTTTGTCATGAATGATTCAAACATGTCCGGTATTAAGATTGTTAAAAAGGTCATCTCGTACAGTGATATCATCGGTTAGAAGATAACCTACTTAAACTCAGTAGGTCACGAATGTCGCCAGATCAGAGTTCAGTTATTAGGCCAATATAAAGTAACATAATTCATGACAAAGCATACGATTAATGTAAGGCATGACTTCCCAGGACAATCACTTGATGTTTCAGCCATCAGCAACTTGTTGGATAACTCAGTGATTACAAACACATTGCAGA